GTCGGTCTATATTATATATCATCACAATTATCACCATCATCATAAACCACTTCTGGCGTTAAGCTTCACCGGGAAGAATCATTTGCGATCCAGTACCTGCTGGCTGGCACCGATCATTGTCATGCCGTAAAGGCGTAGAGTGTCTTTAATGTTATCGATCCATGTTAGTGATTGTCCTCTAGCTCTTGTAGTTGACCTTCCGAGATGTTTTGCGCGTGATGGTTGATGTTGCTGCATTCTAACGAGATGACCAAACCACTCGATCTGAGGTTTCTCATGAATTTAGCACAAAGTGTGGTTCTCACAATCTGTCTGGTCGTATGATAATTCACTCGACCTCGAATGGTTAGGTTGGTGCCTTTTTTCACTCATCTCATATAACAGCTTGTTTATATATATGTATATATATATATATATATCAACACCTGAATGAAAGAGTGAAGGAATGACTGAATAAATAGACATGAATCAAAGAATCAAGTATTGACATTACTGCACTAGGGACTCCCCCCCCCCCCCCCCCCCCCCCCCCCCCCGGTCCCTTGCTTATTACCGTGCTTACTGCTATTTTTCCGCTAGGTAAAAAGCAATATATGTCTTGATAATCACACACACACTGACAGACATATTGACATATCTGCCTTTAAGCAATTACCGAAAATGGGTCGGTTACCCTTTTGTACCCATCACCAAAAGACGCAATGCCTACCATGTTTATTCCGTATTTGGATCATACTGACCAGACAGTGGGCGGTCTTCGCGCGTTATTTATGGCTAAACATGTCCCAGACAATCCCATAGCTGTCTTAACACAGACGAGTTCTTCTTGCAGGGAAGCTTACGTCAACTGTCTTGGGGTAAGGGGCATCCGTTAACCCAAAATAATGTCTTTGCGGTGCTGATAATTTTGAGCGCCTGACCGAAAGGTTAAGAAACCAAAGCGGGGCACCGGAGTTCAATCATAATGTCAATACATGGTTAGGTGGACTCCATAGCCCTCTTGCAAATTGTAGAGGGGTTTGCGGTATTAAAGGACCCTTTTTCACACCTTTCTGTGTATTTGGTATATAGAGCTAGACCTATATTTTATAGACCAGTCAGTATTTTCTGGCTGTTGTTGTCAACGTCACTCTGGTCGCCTTTACTTCCTAGTACTTTACCTAGTACCCTGGCTGGGTCGACATGGGAGCCAAAGTAATATTTGAATGGGATGAAAGTCCGGCGCCGTTTAGATTCGAACACACGGATCCACAAGTGTTGAGCCGCTTCACAACGGTGGCTCAAGTGCTGGGTTTCAGCTACCTAGAAATAACAAGGAAGTGTGTGTAGGGGGGGGGGGGGAGGTTGTAAGCCATCTGGGGCCCCAGTATAACCTCACAGTGCACCGGGCTAACAAAGATTAAGCACGGGCAGGATAGGCGACGAAAGAGGTCATAGACTCACAGGTTCTGAATTAGTTGTTGGCTGTTTCAGTGCCTGATTCTCACTAGAATGTGCCCAGTTAAGTAATTGAGTAATAAATTCTAACCCACTAGGACATCAGACAAGCGACAAACACCCGGCGACACAAAGTGCCATCACGCTGATGAGGATCACCCGTGAAGAGGTACCGGAAACCCTGTTCAGCCGTTAGGCCATATTTATGGCCCCGCTATATCTAGGGCACACGGCAACAGCCGAGGTGGGCCTTCAAAATAACACAAAATTGCATCCCACGAGGGGACGACTTATGATAGCACATAAATGAAACTGTGTACCCAGTTAAAACGTATATGTAATCTTCTTCACGCGGAGCTTTTGAACTAAAATGCTACCGAAACATTCATAGAATTACCGTAGACCCAGAAGAAAAAAAAAGCTGGACTCCTGAATGACCTGAACATCAATCCCGAATAGGCTCGTAGGCAGCATCCTCTCCCGAAAGCTGAGGGGCCGCGTGGCTTGAGGCAAGGTGTCCGCCTCGAGTGCTAGAGGTTCTGTGTTCAATCCCCGGCAAGGGCTGGGATTTTTTCACGTGGAAAAAATCTACTCGAAGGATTTCAGGATCCTCGTCTGTGCTACAGATCCTGTGAACTGCGCTGAGCTTCTTCGGACTCGGACTTATGTTAGAAGAAGAACGGAGCACTAATGGGTTACACCCATGTGGATCAGATCCTGTGAACTGCGCTGAGCTTCTTCGGACTCGGACTTATGTTAGAAGAAGAACGGAGCACTAATGGGTTACACCCATGTGGATCAGATCCTGTGAACTGCGCTGAGCTTCTTCGGACTCGGACTTATGTTAGAAGAAGAACGGAGCACTAATGGGTTACACCCATGTGCCATGATGTTAATCTGTTGTTCAAAACCTCAAACCTCTCGAAAGCTGTGGTATTTTGGACACGTCAAACGCCATAGTGGTCGGGAGAGAACGGTAATGGAGAGTGCAGTTTCCAGAAAACGAGGCAGAGCCCGACCTCCGCGGAGATGGATACGCTCCATTAAAGATGCATTGGCTACAAAAGCACATAGGGCTGGAGAATTGGCTAAAGAAGGAGAGACATTCAGTCATGCCGTGAAGTAAAAAACGTTATGTAAATGACTCGCTGACTGACAAGTAACCTTCCTTGTATTATAAGTGTTAATTTAGAAAAAAACCATATATATATCCACAATCAACTTTAAGCGAAAAGAAATTAAAATATGAATGAATCTTTGCAGATAAAAACACACTAAGTATTCATCGCGTATATGTGCATAAATAATTTGTTAAATATTTTATTTCTTATTTAGCAACAGCACCAACCGCCACACCAACAACATCCAATCCTCCAACAGTACCAACGAAGCCACCAAGCATAGACGTGTGCCGGTATTCCCTCTACGACACTTACCGTCAGAAATATGTCTTCACTGGTTGGAATCTGACAGAATTGATCTCCAGGAGCAAAGTGAAGAAATGGTGTGACAGAAACAGTGGCCAGTACTTGATTATGACCACACCAAAAGACCACTGTCGTCAGTACTACAAAGATCTTTGTAAGGTAAGATAGTACTGCTAAATTATCTGTCTATCTATCTATCTATCTATCTATCTATCTATCTATCTATCTATCTATCTATCTATCTATCTATCTATCTATCTATCTATCTATCTATCTATCTATCTATCTATCTATCTATCTATCTATCTATCTATCTATCTATCTATCTATCTATCTATCTATCTATCTATCTATCTATCTATCTATCTATCTATCTATCTATCTATCTATCTATCTATCTATCTATCTATCTATCTATCTATCTATCTATCTATCTATCTTATCTATCTATCTATCTATCTATCTATCTATCTATCTATCTATCTATCTATCTATCTATCTATCTATCTATCTATCTATCTATCTATCTATCTATCTATCTATCTATCTATCTATCTATCTATCTATCTATCTATCTATCTATCTATCTATCTATCTATCTATCTATCTATCTATCTATCTATCTATCTATCTATCTATCTATCTATCTATCTATCTATCTATCTATCTATCTATCTATCTATCTATCTATCTATCTATCTATCTATCTATCTATCTATCTATCTATCTATCTATCTATCAATCTATCTATCTATCTATCTATCTATCTATCTATCTATCTATCTATCTATCTATCTATCTATCTATCTATCTATCTATCTATCTATCTATCTATCTATCTATCTATCTATCTATCTATCTATCTATCTATCTATCTATCTATCTATCTATCTATCTCTATCTATCTATCTATCTATCTATCTATCTATCTATCTATCTATCTATCTATCTGTCTGTCTGTCTGTCTGTCTGTCTGTCTGTCTGTCTGTCTGTCTGTCTGTCTGTCTGTCTGTCTGTCTGTCTGTCTGTCTGTCTGTCTGTCTGTCTGTCTGTCTGTCTGTCTGTCTGTCTGTCTGTCTGTCTGTCTGTCTGTCTGTCTGTCTGTCTGTCTGTCTGTCTGTCTGTCTGTCTGTCTGTCTGTCTGTCTGTCTGTCTGTCTGTCTGTCTGTCTGTCTGTCTGTCTGTCTGTCTGTCTGTCTGTCTGTCTGTCTGTCTGTCTGTCTGTCTGTCTGTCTGTCTGTCTGTCTGTCTGTCTGTCTGTCTGTCTGTCTGTCTATCTATCTATCTATCTATCTATCTATCTATCTATCTATCTATCTATCTATCTATCTATCTATCTATCTATCTATCTATCTATCTATCTATCTATCTATCTATCTATCTATCTATCTATCTATCTATCTATCTGTCTGTCTGTCTGTCTGTCTATCTATCCACATTTGTATGGATTTCACATGCAGCAGTTGGTGTAAACTGCATAGCTCCGCAGATTAATCGGAGTACAAAATAATGCCCTCCGATTAATCTGCGGAGCTATGCAGTCTACACCAACTGCTGCATGTGAAATCCATACAAATGTGGAACCCCTCGGGTTGCGGAGAGAAAATGCCACTTTAGAAATTTATGAAAGATGCGTTAGGAAAAATCGTAACCATCCTAATAGACATCTTGTAGAAAACTGGGAATCCAAACAAAGAATAAAGCACAAATCGGTTTTACACTGTGTTAATGAAATTCAGGACAGATACCACCTCCCAGAAAGACGTCAAGGAATTCAGAATGTTGCAAGAAACCTACACCACATGCTCGCTTTAAAGCTCCAGAAGTCCGAATTAAATTGGTAGGCGAGGAAACCAAACAGTCCGACCCAATCGCTCTTATGAACTCATCACTAAAGACCGTTGATTCTTACCCCCAAGAATGGATACATGTCTATACTGATGGATCAGCATTTAAAGCTACCATTAAAGCAGGTTACGGAATCTACATAGGTTATCCCGATGGATCTGTTGAAGAGATTTTTGATGCATGCGGGGAATTCTGTTCAAACTATGAAGCTGAAATAATTGCACTGGAAACAGCAGTATACCACCCAAAGACTGTAATGGATGTTTACCCTTCAAAGGTCCAAAATAT